AGCAGTGTATTTCAGTCAGTCTGCCTGTTCTGTTCCCCGCTCTGTCTCCAATGAATTCTCTCACTCCCCTGCAGCTCTGGCCTGTACCCCAGTACTTGTATGCATAAATAAATCAATCTTTAAAAAATAAAGTATAACTTTATACTAGGTGTTTTTCCAAAGTGAAAACGTTGTTTTCTGCTGATATTGTTCATCTAACATAGGTACATGTGGGGGCTTTTTTAAATTTCAAGTAGTCTTTGACATACTAACCCTCACAGAATAAATGAGATAACCAGAGTGGAAAGAACTGGCAACAATTTCCTTTTTCTTTGTCTTCTAAAGAATCTTCCTTCTTTTTTCTCACTTATTTGTTGGTATGCCCAAGATTGCCTCTCTTTCCTTTCCTCTCTGTCCCTCTGCTCTCAATGTCCTTCTGCAACTCTCTCTAAATGTTCTCACTGAAGCATAGTCTTCACATCTAGACCTAATAATCTGTATGGAAGCAAATCCCTTCTAATTCCATATCTGCTTATTCATTAGCTTTATGGGACATTCTCAATTTGGGTGCCCCACAGACTTCTCAAACATATTAATTCCTTTAAAATAAAACATACTGTATTACCTTATGTGACTTCGACACTGAATCATACAGGCAGGAACTCTAGAAATTAACCCAAATTTCTTCTTTCAGCCACGACATCAGTTTAGTAATATCATCATCTTAATTCTACGTTGTACAGTTTTGTCATATCTATTACCTCATTTTTACTTTTCAAAAAGATACTGAGTAAATATTAATGGAGATAAAATAAGAAATGATTTTTCACAAGTGTATGACATTAGAAATAAGACATAAGCAAAATGGACAAAAAGTGCAAGGAGAAGAAAGAAAATAAACAGGTCAGCTAAACAACAGCTGGTATCTCAGATACAGTAAGAGGTGGACACATCATCCTGTCCTCATTTATACCACAGAAGCCTCAGGTGACTGACACATACATCTGATAGCTGATTAGTTTAAATAATGTCCCTAGAAAGGGTACAACAGGTACCAATATAGACTTCTTAGAACATCAAAAACTCCCTATAATGATGGGCTAATCGAAGGGACCAGAAATTTGGGTTTCATATGTCCCTGGATATATAAGGACTATAAACTCAGGTCAGTTAATAAACTGTGCAGGAGTCTGGGTGGAGGAGTGGGAGGAATCAGAATGAGAGGTTCCTGACTTGGGATCAGTATAAGCTCTATGCTTGAGAACCTGTGTGTTATTGCTCATGCCTTGCTTTTCTCCTGTAGATATTACTTTTGTCAGTATAAATAAATATAAGCATCTACAACATGCCTTAATCTACTGACATTGCTGCAACAACAGAGCCTGAAGAATGTAGAATGTCTCTTTTTTTATAGTATTGAAAACACACAGATTTATGACTGACATCTCATTAAATAAGTGTGTGTTAATATATTCATGCAATGTATGCAGTTAGTATATGACAGTGTTGTTAATTGACTATAAACAACTGTGCTGCTTTGCTCACACCCAAGGCACAGAGTCTGGTGATTGATGCTTTCTAGAGAATCTCAGTAATAATGTCTTTATATCTGAAAGCAGGAGTGAGGGGGGCTGGGGGTTTGGAAGTGATTTGAGAGGACTTTTGTTTCCTGTTTTATTAACTGGTATTTATTAACTGGATTGGATTTAAATGGTATCTCTACTACTTTCCCTGCCCATAACTCTCTCATAGAAGGGTTAGGAAAATCCTAATCTTTTTTTTTTTTTTTCTGGAACTACTTCAAAAGGTTAATGCTTAGTCCTTTTGTCCTCAAACTAGAATCCACCATTTGATCTAATGTAATGCTGCCAGAATCATCATTTCGGAACATAAATATAGTTATATACTTCCCTGTTTAAAGTAATTTTATGATCTTCCAATGCTCAAAGATAAAGTTCAAAAAATATCTGGCACAGCATACAAGGCCTGTATGCTTACGCTGTCATTCTGACCTGATTTTTCTGTAATCTCTGCTCTTGTTAATGGTGATCTGCTTGAAAGTCCTAGAATGAGCCATGATCTTTTTCCTTTGTAAATGTTGTCCCCTCTGCCTACAAAGTTGTACATGCATCTTCTTTTCTTCTGCTTCACCTAACAGCACTAAATGTTTTTAGAAATCTTGAATGATCTTATAATTTTTGGTTTTTTTCAAGGTTTATTTTGGTATTTATTTTCTTATTGAGGTTAACACCGGTTTACAGCACTGTATGTGACTCAGAGGTAGAGGTTGGCACTTTTGCAGATGTATGTTTCCACACCACACCCACTGTTAAGGCAGCCACAGTCCTCCACCAGAATCAGCTGGGTTGCTTGTTAAGCTTGTTCCTGACTTTTAGTAACTTCAATTCTCCAGTCAGATTTCTAGGGTTTGTTTGATTTGTTTTGCCTGTTTCTTTGTTTTATTTCATTATATACCACATGAATGAAGTTATCCGAAATTTACCTTTCTACTTCTGACTTATTTATATTAGTATAATCCTCTCCAGTTCCATCTGCATTGTTGTAAATGGCAAGATTTCGTTTTTGTTTTTAATAGCTTAGTGGTATTCCTTTGATTTGTTACTTAGGTTGTTTCTATACCTTGCTCATTGTAAATAGTGTTGCAATGAACATAAGACTGCAATAGCCCAAAAATTAGTGGGGTATTTTTGTTTGTTTGCTTGTTTTGTTTTATCTGGGTAGATACCTAGGATTGGCATTGTTGGTTCATGGTGCATTAATTTTTGATATTTTGAGAGACTGCCATGCCATTTTCCATAGGGCTAGACCAATCTGCATTCCTGCTAATGATGTATGAGGATTCCTTTGTCTCCATATCCTCAACAACTCTCGTTGTTTCTGATTTTTTTTTTGATATGTGAGCTTGTATATCATTTTTGTTTTGATTTGCCTTTCCCTGATATTGAGTGATGATAAGTCTGTTGACCGTCTGTAATTCACCACATCGATAAAATGGGAGATAAAAACCATGTGATCATATCAACAGATGCAGAGTAGGCATTTGAAAAGATTCAGTATCCATTAATGATAAAAACTCTCAATAAAGGGGGATACAGGGACATATCTTAACATAATGTGGACTATGTATGAAAAATCCACAGTTAACATCATACTCAATGGTGAAAATTGATTTTTTTTTTCTCTCAGATCAGGGACAACAGTTATATTTCCACTTGTATTACTACTAGTCTACATAATATTGGAAATTCTTGCTAGAACAACTAGATAAGAGAAAGATCTATAAAAGGAGTCCAAATTGGGAAAGAAAAATTAAAACTAACACTATATACAAATAATATGATAATATACATAGAAATCCGTAAAGATCCCATTGAAAAAACTTCAATAAATAAAATTCTGTTGTTTTCCTATATGCAAGTAATGAACTAGAACAGAAAGAAGCTAAAAAAAAAAGATTGATTACTATTGTATCAAAAAAGAATTAAATACCTAGGAGTAAACAAAGAAAGTAAAAGATATATTATGAAAACTATAAGACAATGTTAAAAGACATGGAGGACACTAAATGGTCTATAACCACATTCTTGATTTGATATTTTTGTTGAGACTGTGTCTTTCTAACAAGCGTTCAATTTTATCTTTTACTGATTTGAGAGGCTGTTGAGAAAATGTTTTATTTTCCATCATGAATACTTGTTTCTCTATAGTTCTTTACTATCAAACTTATCAGTTCTTTAGCAATTTTCTTTCTTGTAGTATCTTATCACATGCAGTTATTAAAAGCCAAATGCCTTTTTAACATTTTCTCTGGAAATCTCATTACTCATCTAGTTAAAGTTCATTATGTACATTTTCTGTCACCCAAGTTTCCACAGGTAGGAACATTCTCAGCTGCTTTTCTTCACATAACATGGGTGGCCATTTTTCTAGTCTCCTGTGACCATTCTTACAGTGCCTTTCCAGATCCCATCTGCCATCCAGCACCAAAGCCAAGGCCACATATTTTTGGTCTTTGTTATGGTACAACTTATTTCTCTGTAGCAGTTTTTTTTTTCATATACTTCCATGTTTTCCCACCTCTCTAAAACAAGCTAAGTTGAAATTATGGCCTCAGCAGGGTTCCAAGAGAGGAAGCAGTAGTGTTGAAATGCTTTAGAAAACCTCTGCTGGCTTCAAATCTGCATTCTATTGGCCAAAGCAAGTTATATAGTCAAGCTCAGATTCTATATAGAAATAAAAATAAAAAAATATTTCTATACAGATATAGAAATAAACCCCATCCCTTTAGTGAAAAGAACTCTAGTTACAGAGCAAAATGTGTGGATATAGTAAGGTTATTTAGGGCCTCCCCTGGTGGCCTCCCCTGGTTGAGCGCTGCTTTCAGCCTCTGCAGCACTGGCTCAATCCCCGGCTGCCGGGTGAGGGTCCCACATGGTGCACAGACCTCTCCTGCCATACCCGCTGCTCCCCTTAGCAGTGTATTTCATCACTCTGCCTGTTCTATTCCCCACTCTGGCTCTGGTGAATTCTCTCACCCTCCCGTGCTTCCGACTATACCCAGTGCTTGTATAAACAAATAAATAAATAAATCTTTAAAAAAAAAAAAAAAGAAAGATTCTTATTAAAAAAAAAAAGAAAAAGAAAGGTTATTTACTGGAATAATTAATGAAACCACTCTAGAGCAGCTATTTATATTAATATTTTTAATAAGTTGATCTGTTTCATTTATATGTAATGAAGGAACTCCAAACTAAGTTAAGAGCTTTCAGTATGTAATATGGTATGCAGTGTTTGAATTACAATGTTTAATTTTTATCATTTCTACTTAACATTTCTCTTAAAAGCTTATGGTATGTGCCTTGCATACTTTATCCATAAATCAAACTGGTAGGGTAACTTTAACAAAGGAAAATTAGTTAGGTATGTGAAATAGTTCATTGCAGTGCCTAAGACAAAAAAAAAAAAAAAAAGAATCAATATTTGTTTCTTTTATTCTTCAGGTGATATTTGTGATCCCAATCCATGTGAAAATGGAGGTATGTGCTTGTCACAATTGAATGGTGATTCCTATTCCTGTGAGTGTCCAGATGGCTTCACAGATCCCAACTGCTCTAGTATTGTGGAGGTTGGTAAGTGCAACATTTATGCATTTCAATAGTTATTCTTTGTTTTCATATATGACTGATAAATTTGGCAATGGCGCATTATAAGTATTCTGTATAAGATTGTTGTATGTTGCTAATTAGTTTATTCCTTTGTAAGAGATTCCACTTTATCATTTCTAGTTTATATTTAAATTATAATTTTACTAGTGTGTTCTCAAATAATTTAAACATCTTTTAGTCATTAACATTCTACTTTAAAGGCAATATAAATACTATTTGAATATAATAAATTTCTTATCTCTCTAATATTAATATAAATTTATGGTTTAATCTCACTTGGGAAATGATTACTAAGTTAACTTATTCAAGCTAAATAGTCACTAAATAAAATAGAACTTATTTTAGTAATGACAAGTATCCTTCAGTATATTGTAGCTATTCTAATTACGTTTCTAAGAATATAAATATATGAACAAAGATAGAATTCCAACTGCAATATCCTTACAATTCTTTTCAAAAACTTAGTCTTTCAAATATTTATTAGTGTCCATGATCACATTTCAAGATTTTTTTCATCTGTAAAATGCTTCACTGGAATGTATAATCATATATTAAGGGTAACTTATGTAATTTCCAAATAGTTCCCATTAAGGAAATAGCTTCACTTTAAAATAATGTTTCACTATGTAAACTGGTAGAGTGATTTTACTCTGATTAAAGGTAGCAAAATGATTAAGTTTGAAAAATTTTAAATATATTTTCACATCAGTTCCAAGAATATAAGGTGCACTATATTTGTTCAGTATAAGAAAACCAAATAAATATTAGATTCAAGTTCTGTCGACCAGCATAAAGTCTGGAAAACTTGGAGATATCAATGGCTTTTGAAATTGTTTTGAAGAAGAAAAATTATAGCGTCCCTAGTAAAGGATTAATATGAGTTACTCATCATTGTATTTGATGCAGGTAACCTAGCACATTATACATAGTGGGAGCCCAGTAGCTATTGCCTGAATGAGATAATAATTAAGGGTCTCCCTGGTGGCCTAGGGTTTAAGTCTCAGCACTATCTCCACTCAGGCCTGCGTTCTATCCCTGGCCAGGGAGCTAGCCCACATATGGCACAGCAGACCTCTCCTGTCTTGCCTGCTGCTCTCCTCAGCAGTGTATTTCAGTCAATTCATATGTTCTGCTCCCCACTATATCTCGAGTGAATCCTCTCACCCTCCCACTCCTCTGACCTACACCCCAGTTCTTCTATGCAATAAATAAATCTTAAAAAAAGAATAATGAAATAAAAATCATTAACTTGCTATTTTTAGTCACTAATTATTGAATTTTGGTGTGATTTACTTTTAAATGTATTTTCTTGTGTTTATGTTATATTTATATGAATATATTATATCTGAAAATTTTAATTTTATTATTGCTGAAAGGTACTTTGTTCATTTAATTTATTTTTAAAGATAATTTTCCTTTGTGGCTTTTATTAACTCATTGCAATTTTAGGGAGTTTTATACAGTTTCATAGAAATAAAAATATTATAACCACTTTAACTCTGTTTCCAAATATGTACAGTGAGCTTCAAGAGTTTAATCATATCCTCAAGAAAGTCTATATTTCTGAAGAAAATTAAAGGTGTTTCTAACAGGAATGTATGAATAGAATAAAAAATTAGTGTTCCCCTGGTGGCGCAGTGGTTGAGCACTGGGCTGCGAGGTTGCCCACAGCCGCTGCAAAGCTGGTTCATTCCCTGGCTGCCAGCGAGGGTCCCACAAAAAAAAAAAAAAAAAATTAGTGTTAATCTTAAGTCCAATGACTTCAAACTGGTGCTGCCTTAGATTTAATTTAGTTTATAATTAAAAACTATATATTGACATAACATGAGTTTATAACATTATATAGATTTCGAGTATACAGCATTGTTATTTCATATCTGCATATGCTACATTAGGATCCCCATCAAAAAAGTCTTTTCATCCACCACCATACAATTAATACCCTTCACCTCATTTTGCCGGTCCTATAACCCTCTTCCTTTCTGGTGACCATCATTTTGTTCTCATAATCTAATAAGAGTTTGGATTAGTTTCCTTATTTGTTCTTTTTTCTAATTTTTTTTAGGAGAAAAAGCCATTGAGAAGTTTAATAATAACAGGTATACCTCCTGTATGCATGGGGAAAGTCCTAAAATAACTTGGCAGTGCTCCCATCTGGCTTTGGATATCATTTTAAATAGCTTAACTAAGACAAGTGAGGTTAGTGGCAAACAGGGCATTTATTGGGTAAACAAAGGTACTTCTGCCTTTTCCATTGAGAAAATCCTTACAAAGAGATGTTTAGATATAAACATCAGACAATTTCCACCTAGCCTTCAGAGCAAATCTCATTAAATAAACATATTCTCAAAGACATGTTTTGAGGTGGCAGATTTCTACTCTCCTGCAGTCCCATTTTTTTTTGGAAATTCTCAAGAAGTTCCACAGCTCAGAAGTTGAGTTGTTCAATTATTTAGTAAAATCAGTCCCTCAGTCATGAGAATAGATCAATTAAACAGCCATGCCCAATTACTGGAGACCTACTTATAGGTAAATACAAAGTTAAGTCTATATTGTGTAAGCAATGTCTATAAAAACAAACAAAAAAAAATAGGGGGTTAAAGATTGAATCAAAACACAAGTCCAGTTAGGAGTATTGAAGGGAGTCCATTGAGAATCTTTACTGGAACTTCTTGTAAAGGAATCTCAGATTGAACACTAAAGGGACTCTCAGTGCGTGAAGACATGTCAAAATCTCACCAGCAGATTGTGCTTACAATAGGATTGTAGACAATTTTCTATCCTTTGGAAATTAAAAATAAGGAGCTATAGAACTTGATATTATCACCTTATAAAAAGTCAAAGTATTGCCAAGACAATACTTTCATTTTTGGGTAAATTTCTCTCTTGAGGTCCCAAAATGGGTTTTTGGGTTTGCCAAGACATAAAACTTCCTTACCCTTTTCCAGGTAGATCTGGATCCTGAAAGCAAGGCATCAGGCTGTGTTTTCTTTGATGGTTCTGAGGTAAATCTAGATTACTAAAAGCAGTTTGGTTTCAAATATGACATTTTAACCAAAGTCTTATTGATACAAAATCTCATTCACCCATGTTTCCAATAGTGTGTTATAGAGGAAAAATAAAGTCTTATTATACAAATAAACACATTGCAATGAGAAATAGGAATAGTTACAGAAAGTTATCATTTGGGGTCGTGTGTGTGTTTGTGTGTGTGTGTGTGTGTGTGTGAGTGAGAGAGAGAGAGAGAACGCACAAGCAAATATTTCAATTCTGCTCACCAAAAGGTACAATTTACTGTTGCTTGCAGGTCACAGCCCATCTCAACAGAAAGTTTTCTGGAGAAAGGAAAACATAAAATATTTCAAATAAAAAAACATTTAATGATATTTGTCTTTCATAGTTCATTCAGTCACAAACAGAAAATCTCAGATCTTTTATAAGCAATTATTATGAGTTGATTTTTTCCATAATCTCTGCAATTTTATCTTTTCAGTTCCATGTCAAACCTGTATTCCAAGAATATTTGTTAGAATACTTTCCCTTTGAATCCCATGAATACAAATCAGAGTAAATAACTTCCATAAATGGAATAAGACTTGAAATTGATCATATTTAAAATGTGATTATGATTCAATGACAAGGAAATTCCCCCAGTTTTGTGACATATAATATTTTGAATAACCAGACATGACCAGTAATAACATTACAACAGAACACATTAGGCTTTACATTTCACATAATGTTAGAACTCTCTTATTAATAGTCATGTACATGCTATGAAGTATTTTTGTTGAATTTCTAAGAAATTAGTGTCAAGATGAAAGTAATTATTTTTGAAATGGAATGATACAAGAAATGGGACAGTGAAGTTGGAGATTTGAGAGAGGAATCTTAGAAACATACTTTACATGGTCTAATGACTTTTTATAAGGTGATAATATCAAGTTCTATAGCTCCTTATTTTTAATTTCCAAAGGATAGAAAATTGTCTATATCTGCATATAAAATAGTGGTTTTTAATCCTAATTTTAAAAAAAAATCTGTTTTTCTACATCAGATATATGTTATTTTTATTGTAGTATATCTTGAATGGAGAATTTCAGATACATGATATTCTTAGAGGTAAAAATTGCTATGTGATTTTACCTCAAATAACCTCTCCTATTAGTAGCCTTGTTTTAAATTCTTGACACTACTTATTTCAAAGGAAAATTTATGTCCATTTTTCGTATATTCCTGTATTATTTATGGAAACTTAGAAAGAAAAATTGATTTGTTCTGTTTTGTGAATTTTTATCACTAGACAACGTTGCTTTCCTTTGGACTTAATTATTGATCTGTTGTGTATTCCAATGTCCATTTTCTACCTTTCTAAATTTCTCTGTTTTTCACGTACACCCCACTAATGCAGATGTACTACCTATTTCAATGTCCTCAGATGCTTAGCATTATTAGGACTCATTTCTGATATTCACAAAAGGCAAAAGAAAATATCTCTCTGAGCAAAAGAAAGAAAACAAAAACACCCACTTCATCCTCAGTTTTGAAGAAATCAGCCAATCAACTGTTGTTTACACAGATGTGCCTTAGCTGCTGCTTTCCTCTCCAGGGGACTTGTAGACAGATCACCACGTGGTTAAGCCCCAAATTACTTCCCAATTACTTGCTCATATTCCTGGATGGCACTGTGTAATTTTTAGCCAAATGTTGACCCATTTATTTCATAAATTTCTGTTTCTAGTGAATATTGTAGAGTTCATATATGGAAATATTGAGAATTAATAAATTGTATAAAATTTATGGCATAATTCTGCTCTGTATGCTATCAAAGTAACCCTGTAAACTAATAACTAATGTAACCTCTTAATATGCAAATGCTTATTAACACATTAATTCAATCAAGTAGAACAAAATAAGTGACTGACTTAAAAAAAAATCTCAGTTTCTACTTATCCTTAAGTAGG